ATTTGCTAATCATCTGAGTCAAATTTTTCAACCAAATCCCTCCAATAATTTGAATTTACCAGCTCAACATATTAACAATAATATTATCAACTTACAAATCTCCGCAAATGATATCAAGGTAACCATCAAAGAAAAACTTGTCTGCAAAAAAGCACCTGGACATGATTCTATAACTCCAATTATGTTAAAAAATCTGCCTTTCGTAGCAATCTCATTCATTACAAAGATTTTTAACGCCATAATAAAATTTGGACATATCCCGACAGAATGGAAAAAAGCGTTAATTATAATGGTTCAAAAACCCGGAAAGAATTCAACACTAGCCGCATCATATAGACCTATAATTTTGCTGCCTTGTCTGTCAAAATTATTTGAGAAAGTGTTTCTTGCAAAACTCATGCCTTTCCTCCAAGATAGAGACTTGATCCCAAACCATCAATTTGGATTTCGTCAAAAACATGGTACTATCGAGCAAGTGAACAGAATAACTAACGAAATAAGAAGTGCTTTTGAAAATCGAGAATATTGCTCTGGTGTCTTTTTAGATGTTCAAACGCAGTACTTCAATCATACTTGATAGGCAGATCTTTTAAGGTAAAGTACAATATGCACACAACTAATGACTTTCCAATAGGTGTAAGAGTTCCACAAGGCAGCGTTCTTGGTCCATTCTTGTACCTCATCCCTACAAATATCCCTACAAATACCAATTTAGTAATATCAACATTTGCTGACGATACCGCTATTTTGTGCCGACATACGAATGCCGCAATCGCTTCCAGTAAACTGCAAAATCATTTGTACGCCATTGAAGGCTGGTTATTACTATGGCGAATTAAAGTCAATGAGCAAATACGTCGTCATACAATATTCTCTCTTAACAGATCCTCATCACCAACTATCACTTTCAACGGAATAGTAGTTCCGCAAACAGAAACAGTGACGTGCCTTGGTATTCACCTTGACAAACGCTTAACTTGGCGAAAGCGTATTGAAACAAAAAGGACTCAAATGAAGCTCAAAGCTTTAAGCCTTCGCTGACTAATCGGTCATCAGTTTCCTTTATGTTTAGAGTACAAAGTCTTGTTATACAACCAAGTTATTAAGCCAATCTGGATGTATGGCTTACAGCTATATGGCAATACCTGTTCGTCAAATGTTGAAATCTTGCAGCTCAAGCAAAGATCTTATCAAAAATGAAAACATACATTTTGATTTAAGAGTTCCGATGGTTAAAGTCGAATTCGAGAGAATAAGGCAGAAACATATTTCTAATCTTGAAAACCATGTAAAACCGCTGGCTAGACCTCTTACTAATATGACTACTTCCTCTAGACTAAAACGGAACGATAGACCAATGGCCGCCATCCTACTTTTCTAATGAACATCCTTATTAATTCAACTTATACACCGTGATATCTGGTAAATAAGCCCTGGCTACTTATTCAGAGGCTCCTTGAAATAATTTACAAATCATTATATGTATCATTATAGTATGTTTATATAAAATAATTGGTAATGTAATGTTATTAGTCTTTAAGATTCTAAAACTTATTGTTAGGCTTTAATTTAAAGCGATTCAATAAAAATATATAGTTAAATTAAAAAAAAAAAAAAAATTTATATATTAATTTACTTAAATTTACTTTGTATTTATTAAATATCTTTTGAAAATATTAAAATGGCAACCACATATTTTGTCAAATTAAGTTTTGTCTTGCTTTGTATCAAGACAAATAAAAGACAAAGAGCAATGTCACAGTTTTAGTTTAGGAATTTGTCCTACAAACAAAGTAACGCTTCTAGTTTACACTATTTCAAGTGCATTGAAGCTAACTTACTGTTTATGCTGATTCAGCTATGATCACTGTAGTCAAGCTGCACACAGTATTCTTTGTTTTCTTTATGAACAATGTTGCGCTTATGGTTAAGAATGCAAATCACAGCATAATTGATTTGGTTTGGTTAGCTTTTGGTTGAATCTTTAAATTCAGTTTGAGTCGAGCCAACAAACAACTTGGTCTAAGCTCTTAATGTATAACAGTCACGTTAAAAATATTTTATTAAATATCAACATTTCACTACATTATTGGCACAATTTAGAATTTCCTTGAATTAGAACGCAAATTAGACCAACTCGCACACGCCTTAAATATGCGCTTTGCTATACACTTTGAAACAAGGTATACATAGTTCACTTTGATTTATTTTCTACAGCGTTCATAACAACAGCAGAGCAAGTACAGAGTGCAGAACAATAATTGAAGCTGAAGAAATTGAAGTGATGATAATAGCAAGAAGTTATTTATTTCATTAATGAAGATTTCATATTTCTTAGAATTAAAAATAATTTTTTATTTTAATTTTTAAAACTAAATTATTTTTAATTTAATTCCTTAAAATTATCCATTTTAATATTTTTATTCATAAAATAGTTTTTTAATTAAAATAATTTAAAAAATAAAAATTTTTGTTGTTGTTTCACTTCTGTTCGAAAACCTCTTTATGTAAATATAACAAGTTTCTATTAAAACTATAATAGTCACTTTCGTCTGGAAAATTTGACGTTAAATTACAACTTATTCACAAAAATATGGTTCTCGCCAATAAATATTGGTTCTCGCCCGTGCGACTAGTGGAGTAACATTAGCATGACTTTCTCAGCATTACGTTCCTAGATTAGGTTCTATACATAAGAAAGAACAAATCATGCAACAAATAATGCCTCTACGAATAGAATAGTTTTGAGATTTAACAATTAAAAATAAAAAAAAATATAATTAATTAATTAATTCAATTATTCTACAGCTGGTTTATGATTTCGTTCTAATATATAAATACAGCAAGTAAAATTGTTAATAACAAACTCCAGCAAAAATATGCGAACAAAAAAGTCAAGTACGGCTTTGGATCAGTTGGTTAAGGTGCGCTGATTCTGAGCTTCACATTTGGCAGGACCCGAGTTCGATTCCTGGTACTTGCAGTCTCAAAAATAATTATTTACGAATAATTAAATACAAGAATTATTTCCAAGACCACTGATGAAGGGTATTTGGCAATACTCGAAACAGCTGTATGGTCAGCCAAAAATTCAATTAATTAAAATAATTTAAAAAATAAATTTTTGTTGTTGTTTCACTTCTGTTCGAAAACCTCTTTATGTAAATATAACAAGTTTCTATTAAAACTATAATAGTCACTTTCGTCTGGAAAATTTGACGTTAAATTACAACTTATTCACAAAAATATGGTTCTCGCCAATAAATATTGGTTCTCGCCCGTGCGACTAGTGGAGTAACATTAGCATGACTTTCTCAGCATTACGTTCCTAGATTAGGTTCTATACATAAGAAAGAACAAATCATGCAACAAATAATGCCTCTACGAATAGAATAGTTTTGAAATTTAACAATTAAAAATAAAAAAAAATATAATTAATTAATTAATTCAATTATTCTACAGCTGGTTTATGATTTCGTTCTAATATATAAATACAGCAAGTAAAATTGTTAATAAAAACTTTCATAGCAAGAAGTAACAAAACTCCAGCAAAAATATGCGAACATAAAAAGCCAAGTACGGCTTTGGATCAGTTGGTTAAGGTGCGCTGATTCTGAGCTTCATATTTGGAAAGACCCGAGTTCGATTCCTGGTACTTGCAGTCTCAAAAATAATTATTTACGAATAATTAAATATAAGAATTATTTCCAAGACCACTGATGAAGGGTATTTGGCAATACTCGAAACAGCTGTATGGTCAGCCAAAAATTCAATTAATTAAAATAATTTAAAAAATAAATTTTTGTTGTTGTTTCACTTCTGTTCGAAAACCTCTTTATGAAATATAATAAGTTTCTATTAAAATATAATAGTCACTTTCGTCTGGAAAATTTGACGTTAAATTACAACTTATATTCACAAAATATTGGTCTCGCCCGTGCGACTACTGGAGTAACATTAGCATGACTTTCTCAGCATTACGTTCCTAGATTAGGTTCTATACCTAAGAAAGAACAAATCATGCAACAAATAATGCCTCTACAAAAAGAATAGTATTGAAATTTAACAATTAAAAATAAAAAAAATATAATTAATTAATTAATTCAATTATTCTACAGCTGGTTTATGATTTCGTTCTAATATATAAATACAGCAAGTAAAATTGTTAATAAAATTTCATAGAAAGTACAAAACTCCAGCAAAAATATGCGAACAAAAAAGTCAAGTACGGCTTTGGATCAGTTGGTTAAGGTGCGCTGATTCTGAGCTTCACATTTGGCAGGACCCGAGTTCGATTCCTGGTACTTGCAGTCTCAAAAATAATTATTTACGAATAATTAAATATAAGAATTATTTCCAAGACCACTGATGAAGGGTATTTGGCAATACTCGAAACAGCTGTATGGTCAGCCAAAAATTCAATTAATTAAAATAATTTAAAAAATAAAAATTTTTGTTGTTGTTTCACTTCTGTTCGAAAACCTCTTTATAAAATAGTTTTTTAAATATAAAACTTATTTAAAGACATGTTTGTAGCACAAAATAATTTTTAAAATATATTAACTTCTTTAATAATTGTTTGTAGCACTTTTTTTAAATTTGCTTCTTTTAAAGTAAATAAATGCCTAACACTTTTTTGATTATTATTCATTTGTTTTTCTTTTTGTCACTAATTAATAACTTTTTTCCGCGATTTTTGCTCGTCCAACGCTCATCAAAACTCTTAAATTATGAGAAGTCTACAGATTTCGATACCTAACCTAACAAATAACTGAAAAGTTTTAATTTTATCGAATACATGTCCCAGACCGAAATTGGGTATGCAAGCTTGAATATAGACGGTGCGATTTGGTAGCACGCATACCTTGTCTGCAAACATGTAGCATCGTCTATATCCTGCTTAAGTAATTAGTGGAAACGTATTATTACGCTTAAAGTAGGGGGAGTTTTCGTTCTTTGCTATGGGGTCAAAATGCAGAGGCTTGTTTGTTTCATAATATAATATTCCTTTGCATGAGTTGAACACCGTTCTTATATGAAGTGACATGATATCAATTGTTATTTAAAATTTTTCTTTAGGTTAGATATATTTTGTAAAATATGCCTTGCAGTAAATTGGATATGTTGTACCGGCGAATGTTAATAACGCGATTCTTCGAGAAAGGGTGGGGAACGCCTGAAAATTTACTGAGGTAAACTTGTGATTAAGACAAAGGAAGCTAAAATACTGGTTTTTATTCAATATATTGAAATTTGCAAACAACCATAAAATATTTAAGAGATTCAAGATTTGCTAGTATAAATTCCCAAAAATTACGCTTATTGTAAATTAACAAAGTAAAATTTGTGTGTAAATGAAATATACACCATATAGGATATGTATAAAATTTTCTGAAACTTTTTTGAAATCACAGCTTTCAGTAAACGTGTTACGAAAGAAAAATGCATTGCTTTATGTAAGATTTTCTTTTTTCTGCCTTCCTTTTTGGTATAATACTTTAAATTGAGTGCATAGTTTACATATTTTGGTTAAATGCAGATTTTTTTTTTATGTATATTCATAATTATACATAATATAATTTGTTATTTTTCATTGCCCAATATATTGCTCAACATAATTTGTTAATGATTTATCATAAAGAGTGAATATATTGTTATTCGTGTTTATTCTCTTTGGCTACAAATTTAGATTCTTTATACTTTGTTGGTACCTATTCTTGTGTCAAAACATTGAAATATTATTTTTTTGTAAAGGTTGTGCGAAATGTTAAAAGTTGTTGATCAGTGCCCACTAATAAGCCATGCCGTTGTGTACAGTTGCAAATTTTTACTGTCTAACAGCCAACGTAGCGGTATCGAATAATTTTTTACCGTTAGAGTGCGTTGATAGCGTATTCTCCGACCTGTACATCACACACCTTGGTATTTGACCAATTTAGGCGGCCAAAATTATTTTTGTGTGACTTTTAACTCAAAATGTAATGTAAAGCTACTTCATGACTTTTAAAGTTGCTAAAACAAAAAAATTAACAAAATAATCAATCATGTCTAAAAAAAATATATTGTGCTTGATAAAATGTTGCAAATGTATGGCAAGGTGTTCGTCTCAATTCAGAATTCGAGTAGGATATTAATACAAATAAATATTATATATTATAATAGTATAAATATGATTATAAATATTATTATAATAATAAAAAGTATTTCAGTTTCTTAATGTGACGTTTTGGCAAAACATATTCGTATACCTAACAATAGTAAGCCGAACGGAACTGGATAGGACGGCAATAGCGTGCTGAAGAAGGAATTGGGTTGTGCCATATAAGTTTCTGAGTGTTTGATAATATTAGTTGCAATGATACCAACGAACTTAGAAAAATTTGTATTGGGATTGCTGTGATCCATCATCACAACACTTACAAACGAGTGCTAAGTTTTTCAAATCATTCAGTTCTAATGATTTTATCACTGCTTCAAGGTATTAGAATAATCTTGTTGCTGTATGACCAAAAGATCTTGTAAATTGATTCCGGCACAAGTAGCAGTGATTTTGTATGCTGAACCTAATAGGTGACAGTATTTTTTGGCCTTTTGGATAAGAGTATAATATGATTAAAACTTTTTATTACTTTGTCTTAATATTTCATATTGCCTACGAGACAAGTTTGCTTCAATAAACATTGAAAGAACCTCTAACGTCGACATGATTTTTTTTGACTTTCATTGTAAGCTTGTTTATATTTATGAGCACGATTTGGTGAATTAGTAATTTCTTTGAAAACTTGGAAAGGTTCTCGCATTCCAACTTGGTACAATTTCATTTATGTGGCTGTAGTTGCGTAATTGTTCAGCTTTTCGTCGTTTGCTTCTATCGCAGGACTGTTCAAAAGATTTCAGTGGTCATTCCTTGAATAGTTCCTGGAATCTGGTTTTGATTTTCTTTTCATAAAAGCTTCTATTTTCCTATGAAGACTCATCGGTCTTTGCTTATATTCAATTTAAACTTTTATCTTACATCTTTTCAGCAAATTTAACCTCCTCATAAATATATGAGCTTTTGCAGCTTTGCGTTATGCTGCTTTTGCAGCTTTGAATTATGCTTAATATATATGCTCTACAAATTTCCTAAAGTACCTAAATACCAAGTGATAAAATTTAATTATGAAAAGATTTTACGGAAATATATTGTATATAGAGATCACAAACGCTGCTCATGAGTATAGTGAATACTGCTAGCACGCTTGATTAGGATTTCAAATACTCACAAAAATTAGTAAATATTACTTTATCTTCAATGTATACATTTCAGGTATAACAATATTTTTTCTCCTTCATTCTCTAAATATTATGATAAATAGTTTTCTATACAAAGCCATGCAAAATATTGCTTCAAATATTTATGACTTTACTGCACTCTTTTGTGGCTTACAAAGCCATCCCCAAAAATCCGCAATCAAATTTTTTTTTTTAAATAAAAAATCTTTATATGTGTTTATACTATCATAAGAGTTGTTATTTAGAATTCGGAAATTAAAATAGTTAAAAGTACTTATAATATCAAGCGGAGGCACAGCTCAGCATTCTTTGCTGCTTCCTATTTTTCCTGAAACCATGTTGCCAAACTAAGAAGCCATTTGGATTTTCAATGTACAGTTCCAGTTTAACAATAATAAATTTCTCAAGTAACTTCCATAATCCCTAGTTTAAGAAGAACTTTTGTTAGGCACAATGAGAAAAATTTCGCGGAAAGATCTATAAGAGTCCATAATAAAATGGACTCTGGCATCGTACGATGTCTTTTAAAAAACAAAAATTGTTTAGAAATGGTAGCCTCCATTATCTTTTAAACTGTTTAGGATGCTTTGTCACTAGTTGCGTTAATCAAACAAAAATTTCAACTGTCGCATCCACAAAGCGTAAAAATACTCTTAGATTACTATTCAGGATTCTTGTTTCAATGTCTTTATTAATGCAGTACGCTGATCTTAGATCAGTTGTTGAAGAATCACGAAGATTATGAGGAATACTCAAATTAGTCAGTGAGATGGGTGGGACTCTGCAGAAACTCCTCAGCTATCAAAGAGTAAAAATGCCCAGATGTATTAACTCGGAAAAGACTCAAAATTACATTGCATTACTATCATAACTCTGTCCTGTCAAAAGCACTCTTTGTGGTGGTGTGCGCCTAAAAGTGTTTATCTCCACTAAAAGATTAAAAGAGACTGGCAAAATAATTTTTTCTTTGGTAAGTTTAGTTAAGCTTTTAAGAAATGTGTACAACTTTTGCTAGGCCCCAGTGGGCGCGAGACCTTCGGCGGTTGCCTAGCACCGCCACTGGCTGTTAGGTCTAGAATCTTCAGAACCGTGAACGAACATTAGCAGTTGTAGGAAGAATTAGTTACAGAAATTTAAAATAACTAAATGGCTGGAGTGGGTACGATATCACTGATAATGAAAGCTTATCAACCCATTTCAGCATTCAGTCATTAGTGAAGAAATGTAGCAGACCTGGTACGAATATACAACTAAAAAACAGCTGAAACAAATACATTGTCTTGTGTGTCGATCAGAGAACTGCAATGAGTATTCAACACTCGCATCATTGACTGTGTTTCATTTATATGTACTAGGGTCGCCAATGGTCGAAATTCGACCAATAGAAAATACAATTTATAAACAATATTAATAGTATTTAAATTTTATTGAAAAATTTGAATAAAATGTGAAAAAAATCTAAAGAAAGTTCATTCTCGTGCAAAATCATTTGTTCTGTTTCTGGTTTTGGGATAATTTTTCCTTGAATGAACAATCGAATCAAATCGGCCAATTTGAATTTGTTTTCATATGTGACCACGTATGCACCTGTGAAAGGACGCCAAAATAATTAATATAAAATATTGATGAATTGTTTGCATGAAATACCGATTAAGTCTCCATTTTGAAATCTTTTTAACAAAGAAATTATTTTAACTTCTGCTGCGTACATTTGTTCTTCAGGTGATATCGGAAAGCTATCGGCATAGGAATCAGCAATTTAGTCAGCGTAGAACAGCACCTTCAATTGATCGCGGTTATTATTCAATGAATTGGGTTCAATTTTCAATTGATCGCGTTTATTCTTTAACGAAGTCACAATTTTGACAATGCGACTTTGCACAATATTTGGCTCCAGTCATAATTCCTGAAACAGATTCCTATACTCTATCATCACGAAATCAAATCGCTGTATGCAGTGAAGGTAAGAAACAAAGAATTGAAATGGGCAAATGAACGAATGAAAAAATTGAAAAATCGAAACAGAACTAAATCTAAAATGATAATAATGTTTAATAATAATTCTATATTTTATATTACAAAGTTCTCAAAACTTCCGTGTAAACAATATTTTTCGTAAACACCCTTTCATCATTAGCCAAATACCCTTGTTCACCTTCATTACTGACATATAATTTAAGCCCGTCAAATGATCTAACTCTACTCGCTGCAACGTAAAGTTGACCATGCGAAAAAACAACAATATTCCAACACTATGTCTGTCCTTGGGATTTCTTAATTGTCATAGCAAATGCGGTGATGACTGGAAACTGTGTTCTTTGACAATTAAATGGCATTGTAGTCCCCGAATACGTCAAGTGTATGCGTGGAATCAAAATACGATTTCCGCGAGGAACTCCAGTAAGCGCTTCACAATCTATTGTGTTATTATGCATTGCTTGCTTCGTAATTAAATTTCGAATTAACAAAACTATCGCATTAATTTTGAGCTCCAACTTATGTGGTGGCAAACCACTTACAATCAAAGTATTCAAAAATTCTACTGGATTGTTGCCCACCTCGTTCTTATCCTCAGAAATAATTGTGTTAAAACTGTGATAAACATTTTTTTCACCAACAATGTAATTCAATACATCATTATTGATAAGTCCACAATCTTCATTAGTTAGAGTTAACACAACTGACTTCAACATTCTATCTGATAAATTAATACCTTCAAAAATGTCTTGTACTATGTTATAATCAACGCCTATCAAATTTACTGGAATTTCAACTAAATCTTCACCAAACGGTCTGAAATTAGATTCACCATTGCCAATTCTCTTTGAACGAATTCTAGCTCTTCGGGAAGTGTTCTCATATTTTGAGTTAACGTTACATGATTGAAAAGCGGGAATTCTGCCCAATTCACGTTGCA